TTAAAAAATCCTGAGTTGCTTTGGCCAACTTACCCGTATTTAGACTTTAAAAAACTGTTGGTAGTTTGAAAAAAGAATATTGAATAACATTTGTGTTGCTTTAATTTAATTACTTATTGAGTGGGTCCCATGATATACGCTAAATCACAGCTGTGGAAAATCCAAGTTAACATTACGTATTAGGTATTTCGTATTTTTTTAAATTTTAACAATTCATGAATTACATCCTTCTTTTGTGAAAAAATGATTCTAATTGGCTAATTAGTACCTAATAATAATAAAGCATGTCATTGTGTTAATTATTAATTTATTATGTACATACTTACCAGTATTTTCTAATTAATTTTATAAAGGAATTGCGTTCAATCATTTCGTTTTTATAAAACTTTAATAAAACGTAGTGGGTACCTACTGAAAATATTTTTTATTTTTAAGATTTAAGATCAGTTTTTTTTTAAGTTTGTGCCAAAATAGGTATAGGAAAGTGACGTCAGTCTATGTTAAATTCCAATTTGTTATCTTTCTTAAGTTATTATGTCTAAAACAAATCATTTCTATTGGTAAAAACCGACTTCAAAAAACCAAAAACTAATAATAAACAAAAAGTCAAAACTAAAAAGAAAAAAATAAGTATCATTAGTATTGATAGGTTACCCACCCACTGATAGGTTAGAAGTCGGCGCCATAAGTTCTATACAAAATTATTGATGAAAACCGTTATAGATACCTAATTTACAATTTTCTGGCCATTGAGCTATATGCAGATCTGGGTCTGGAGTCGACCTGATGATGGAGCCGACAGACAGTCGAGAGAACTCCTCAACGGTATACAGTAACTACTTTGTGTTTAGCTTGATTAATTTGTATTGATGAGGACTTTACGCCGAGATAGAGTGGGCCTGTCAAACTGACAAACACCGCGAGGACACCGGTGACCGCAACCTATTGTTGTTTAATTGTGTCTATAATGACGGTACTCAACGAGTTAAGGGTCTGATGATGAAGAAGTGTAATTGTTAAGAGAACTCCTCAACGGTATACAGTAACTACTTTATATTTGGGCTTCATTAATTTGTATTGATTAGAACTTTGCACCTATGTAGGTAGATTAAGTATATGTGACAAAACGAATATATGTAGCTTTGCGCTGAAAATAATAAAATAATAAATTAAAAACTGCGTTTAAAAAACCGACTTCAAGAAACCAAAAACTAATAATAAACAAAAAGTCAAAACTAAAAAGAAAAAAATAACTGTCATTAGTATTGATAGTTTTTATTATGATTAATTTTGTAACATATTTTATTTTAATTTTACATACATTTTTGTTTCTTTTTTCTTGGGTTAGCATTAAGCGTTATAATATAAATTTGTAAGTACCTAAATTATCTTCGAAGGCGAAATAAGGGACCTAAGTTATTACAAATGGGCTCGCTGCCATCGCAGCGGTAAGTCCCCTCTTTGAGGAGTGGCTTGAGAGACGCTACGGCGTCCTCACCTACCGCCTGACGCAGGTCCTCACCGGACATGGCAGTTTCGGGAGGTACCTGTGTCTGATGGGGCGGGAGGAAACGCCCGGGTGTCATCACTGCGAGGACCGCCCTGAGGACACGGTGGAACACACGGTGGGAGAATGCCCTTCGTGGGCTGAGCACCGCCGTGTCCTCAGGGAAGTGATCGGCGATGGCGACCTCTCGCGTCCGGGCCTAGTGCAGGCCATGATGCGGAGCGAGGGGGATTGGGATGCCGTCTCCTCCTTTTGCGAAGCAGTCATGCTAGCTAAGGAGGAGGCGGGACGCGTGAGGCAGCGAAGCGCTGCCTCCTCGCAACCCAGCCATCGCGAAGGACACACCGGGCGTCGGGGATCGCGGGACGATCTCCGGCCACCGTAAGCGCGGGCCTGCGGACGGCGAGCATGGGTGGCTCCCCGTCCGACCAGAAACAGACCCGAGCGTACGGCGCGTCGCGTTCCGCGCGCGCCTCAAAGAGCCATCAGACCACCACAGATGGGGCCCAATAGGGCCGATGCCGATTCGGAGTCGCGGAGAACCTAACGGGTAACCGGGGCTCCGGCTCGACGTGCAGGAGAAGGAACGGGGTGGTTTTTAGTCAGTAAGAGTCTGACACTCCCTCCCGCCTCACCCAGGCGGGGGCAGTCATTCGATGATTTTCCCCCCTTAAAAAAAAAAAAAAAAAAAAAAAGTTATTACAAAATGACCAAATAACTGTGCCTTATTTACGCAAATAAATAATTTTTGACAACATGATATAAGATAACATCACACCTCTGACCCCCGAAGGGGTTGGCAGAAGTGCATATTACTGCACTTCATGCCACTATATAATGTAACACCCACCATTCACTATTTATGTTATGAGTCCCATGCAATAGGCCCTATCTACTGCAATATACCGGGCAAAAATCCAGACTGCGTGCTACTTTTTTTAAAAAACTTATTAGTAATATTTTGTCCGACCCGGGAATTGAACCCGAGACAACTTGCCCGGCGGTCGTACTTGCGACGAGAAGACTCTGCCAACGAGGGAGTCAATAATTTTTTAATTTGAATTAATTCAATCTTTTGTCTAAATGCTAAATTTTTAAGCCTTAAATAAATTATCATTATTGAAATTTTTACAATACATAATGTACAAATGTGTTTAATTTTTTTGGAGTAATATGTTGTTGTAATAAACATTTATTTAGCAATATGTGACATGACCATTGCGTTGCTTTAACTTTTATGGCAGGCGTATTGAAATAATTGTATTCTTATTATTATTATAATGGGATTCTAAATCCGAGTCGATGAAAGTTTAAACAGATTATTGATTCTCAAAGGTTATTTGAGGTAATCTGGAACTGTGATTGAATGGCATAAGCATATGATTTAATATCCTCTCGAGTCCCACATAATCCTAGTAGTCATACATAACTTCCACAATAAACAATTTTTTTTTAAGGGGGGAATATCATTGAATGACTGCTCCCGCATGTGTGAGACGGGAGGGAGTGTCAGACTCTTACTGACTAAAAACCACCCCGTTCGGACTTCTCCTGCACGTCGAGCCGGAGCCGGTTACCCGTTAGGTTCTCCACGACACGTTAGGTTCTCCGCGACAATAGACAATAAGGTCGCTTTTTCTATAGAAAATAAATTATTTCGTAACTATTAGAGCTTTTCTCAGCATTTCTTTTTGTGAGAAACAATCGATTTCTAGTTAATAGAATAGTACATAGTACCTACCTTGAAATGACAAATAATCTTATTAGAGCAACTAACGATTTCATATAAAAAAATAAAATCCATGACTACCATCTATGGCTAGGTGTTGCCCGCGACATCGCCCGCGAAGAATATGAATTTTAGAACATAACTTTAAGTAATTAGCCAGTACAAACAGATAGACAGACAAAAAAAGAAAACTGTGTTTAAAAAACCGACTTTAAAAAATCAAAAACTAATAACAAACAAAAAGTCAAAACTAAAAAGCAAAAAAAGGTATTGTTAGTACTGATATGTTACCCACCCACTGATAGGTTAGAAGTCGGCGCCATAAGTTCTGCACAAAATTACTCATGAAAACTTTAATAGATACCTAATTTTAAAATTTTGTAACCATTAACTTATATCATTATGATATGAGAAGATATACCCTTTCAAACAAAACAAGAATTTCGGAAATCGGTTCACAAATGGCTGAGTAATCGGCGAACAAACAAAAAAATCAATCAGCCGAACATAGTCCTCCTTTTTTGAACTCAGTAAAAAACCATAGAGTAGAAGAGTGTTTCTTCAAAAAACTTTAACTTTTAGTTAACAAATCATTATCTTCCCGCGTTGTTAAGCATCGCAGTAACTTATTAGCATCTGATTTTATTGCATTGGGTGACAATTTTTTTAAACTAAACTTTGTATTTTAACTCGTCGAGTACCGGTTTTGTAGACACAATTATAGAACAATAGGTTGCGGTCACCGGTGACCGCTTGGTGTTTCACAGTTTCAGCAGCATTGTTAACTGTAGCTTAACTCGTTGAGTACCGTCATTATATACACAATTATAGAACAATAGGTTGTGGTCACCGGTGGCCGCTTGGTGTTTGACAGTTTAAGGATAATGACGCCAATAATTTTTTGGTTTTTTTTTGGAGAATCACCCAGAAACCTAGTTACCACAAATCTCGTGGTATTATTTTGCACAAAAATTACTCATCAAAATTACAATTTAACTAATGATCCAATTATGTAAACATTTGCCTAATAGAATTGCGAAACTTACTAGAAACACCAAATGAGCGAGACACTTATTAATTACGCAGTACTTAATGCTTGGGTAATTCATTTCATTTCTATTATTATCATTTTTATTTTGTTTGGGCTAGTTTTATTAGGTACTAGCTACTTCCGCGCAGTTTCACACGCTCTGCTCAGCTCCTTTAGGTCATAGTGTGATATTTTATAGCCTACAGCCATCCTCGATAAATGCGGTATCCAACACAAAAAGAATTATTCAAATGAGTCTTGTAGTTACGGAGATTAGCGCGTTCAAACAAACAAACAAAAAAACGACTCTTCCCGCTTTATATAATATGTAGTATAAGATTGAATAAATTATAGACGTAATACTCAGTTTATGTTATAAACAAATAAATGATTAGCATGCATATGCAATATGTGGACGTGGACATTTTAGAGCCTAGCTATAAATATTTGACATCATCATCATTATCAACAGCCGAAGGACGTCCACTGCTGGATGCCTCCCCCTTAGTCCTTTACTATGAAATATTTGGCGAAAACAAGTAATTATTTATTATAATTTTGTCGCAATAAAATAAATCATAAAAATAATAATAAGTATTTAATAACCATTTGAGTTAGCATCTACACATAATTATCATCTTCAACAATATTCAACTTTATAATACTTTTTACTAATTTCAGTTTTATTATTATGATACATAGATTATACTTATAACGCATGATTCGTACTAAGTACCTACCTACCTACCTGTAACAGACATATTTAAAACAAATAAAAATACCTGACACAGTTTACTAAAACAAACATTAACACAAGATACTAAAGTTATTCGACATCAACATTACTTCCAAGAAAACTTTTATATTTATCACACAGAAATCGAATTCTCATCTCTCAATTCAATGTAATTCTGTAATACTTCATAATCGGATCTTCAATTAGATATTCACTGTCTACAGCGCCGCTTTCCTCCAAAAACTCAGTGTGGCCGCACAACCAATCTAAATACAACTTTAAATACCTGTCGGTAGGGTCTACATCCGTGTGACCCAGACAGAATATCCTGTAAGCATCCTCGCCGTATTTACCAATGCCGCATAAGTCACTGGCTCGTCGCCATTTTGAAGAAACAAACTGATAACTGAGCTTCCATATCATATGACCTCTTTTCCTTAATCCTAAGTTATCAAAGAACCTTTCTAAAGATAATGGCGTGTCACTTAAAACATGATAAGGTGTTGGATATTCTGCGAAGAATGTTTTTATGTAGGGCCTGGCGGTTTTTCCCGAAGTTTTAGTTAGGAAAATTGTTGCTATTAACATCGCCCAGGGGTTTGATGAAAACTCTTCTTCGATTACATAGTGTGGTGACACTGGCATTGCTCTTGGTGTGATGTTGAAAAAAGGTTGTATATCTAGCGGTTCTTGTTCTTCTATAGTTAGTTGTGATAGACTGAGCTCTTCTGATTCTATGGACGCCTGGCTCAGGTCTTGCGACGAGTCCAAGCTTTTGCTCGGTGAAAACGCTTTTGGCAGAATTCTTGGGCTAAGAGATGTTGTATTTTCTTCTACATTGAAGAATCTACTGATGCAGTCTGTGTCCTCCATGATTCTGTAAAGATAGAGAAAAACAATAATTGAACGATTATATTTTCTTAGTAAAGACATTCCAAGAATTTGCCGTCTTGATGAAAATGTCGAACAAAAAATAAAGGATTTTATAGGTAGCAACATATTTTAATTTAACGGCATTATTTTGAAATAATTTAATCCATTTTATCGTTATTACCGAAAATTCATATCATTCCTTATTATAAATAAGGCCTTAACTTTAGACAAAGAATTAGGTAGATAGGTAGGTACATACAGCGCCTATCATTGAAAGTCCAGTAAATACAATAAAGCATTCAAAATAACACTAATGCCGGAATACTGAAACGTTACTCAATTTTAAGTCGTGCTTAAATATCGTGCCATCTCTGTCATTTTACAAAGAATTTGTGGAGACAGAACTATACTTGAGCGCGATTTAAATTTGATTAACGTTTGAGTATTCCGACATAACTTAAATACCCCATTAGGTATATCACATTTGCGACCACAACAAAAAAGTTTTTGTTTATCTCAATAAAGATAATGGATTCTGTAAGATACAAATTATATAGGTACTTCACCTGTCTAATGTCTATTTTTTGTCGATTCAATCTAGTTAAGTCATTTAACATGTTGCCTACAATTTGCCTTTCGGCAACTCATCAAGTTACAACGCAGAGATTCAACCGCCCGTCTACCTATTTAAATTTAATTTTCTATGCAATCACTAAAGTCTAGTCTGTAGATTCTGGTGGTTGTCAATTTTTGATCTACATTTGGAATTCTAGATTTGATTCCATGGTATTCAATCAGTAGGTAAACATTTAGGTTATTTCTTAAAATTTCGTATCACCCAAAGACGGACAGTATCACATTTTTAGTGTAGTAAGTGACCGACCTCTCGAACTACGATACCCAGGAATTGGAATGATGACAGGGTATGAAAATTAAAAATATAATTAGTCTGTAAGTAAAGTAATGAAAAAATATTAGACACGTATTTTTTATAATAAAACAATACTTACATAAAACGAATCAAAGTTTCGGAGTGGGGGCTAAAACGTCATTTCTACGTATAAAATGTACATAGAAATGACGTCACGCGACATTTTAAATCAATATAAAGTCGAAAGTATTAATTTCTGTAAGAAAATAAAAAATACGTGTCTAATGATTTAAAATAATCTACCAGACGGACATTAAAATAAAAATTAGGCATCTACCCTATTATATACCTCTAAGAAAGAGAGAAATCTTAATATTTTTAAGAACAATATGTCCCTGAAATAAGGTAATGAAGCAATCTTCCGGTGAAATTAATACTTGAGCCTTTCAAGACGCATTATGTCCAATGCCGTCGCCCTAGAACAGCCAGCGTGCGCATTAGTTCGCGCGTCCCGAAGCAAATAGAGCAATGTCATGCCATTGCAAGCCATTTCTCTATACCTACAGAAGTTATGATATGACCTTATGACAATACTTCAACTGCATAATCAATAACCACCGGTACCGTAAACCGTTAATATTTTATACGCTAATAACTTAATGGACGATAGGTAGTTGATGCTATTAGTTCTTTTTCTAGTTTGCAACATTATGACCATTTCTTTTATTGATTTATTGGTGGTAAATGCGACTGCTGTTGTAGAGAAATGTTTGTTATGTTTAGTTTTTATTATGCTGTCTCTTGGTTGAGTGGCCTGCCGAAAGGGTCTTGGGTTCGATTTCCGTGTCCGTGAAAGAAGTTCGAAGAATCTAAGACTTATGATATCGAATTTTCGTAAACTACATAAGAGTCTCGAATTGTATCCCATGATGAATAGAATACCAATGGCAATTGTAATTTAAGAGCCCAGCAACTTAGAAAAAAGTCACTAAATGATGCACTCACCTTCCCAAATAAAACATCCAATATTTGCACCAATAACTGGTTTAACCCTAAAGGGGTCGCCGGTCCATCTGTCCTTTCAACGACCCCTATTCATGCTCTCATTACAGCTAGTTATTGTATCCGGCTTTGCCCATACAAAGAGGAACATGCCATTATTAGACTTTTTGTATTTGAATACATAAAAGTTCTTGAATCTCTTTTTTGATAGATCCGTTGACATGTGATAAGATCCAGTTGCCATTGAAAATGCTGCCATGCCGGCTGCTAAAACGTTGCGTACAAATTGGATAAAAAATTAGAACTTTATGTTCAATCCCACTATTATAATCTTTAATAAAAATTTTACATGGAACCTAAGACTTTATATGGAACACGCACCTATAAACGGGTAGGTTATTATTTAAAAATCTAGATTTCTAAGTGCGTATTCTTTTACCAAACCACCAAACACATGGACATTAGTGCAATAGTTTAAACAAGAATAACAAATACCTGTCTTTATAATAAAGTAAGGAAGTAGAGATTAACATGTTTAGGTAAATAATCGTTTACTAAAGACACAGTTAATAGGACACAGGAGTGTAGGCAGCCAGCCCACGCGAGTAAAATCATAAAGTTATCAGCTTTGCTATTTTAAGACCCACGCGATCTGTGCAAATATCTTCAGTGAACGTCTGAGTGCCTTCTCCGTATAATTTAATTAGATGTTTAGTACGATGTTTCTGGTTTTAGCGATGTAAAAGGTTGATTTATCCTTTTGTCTTATTGTATTGTGAGAGATATGGAATGGATATTAAAGATCGTGTCTACGAATATTAGAGCCTGGAAAATTGACTAACTGAAAACTAGGTCAGCATATTCGCTTTATTTATTACGTAGGTAAATAGGTCATCGTAATTTTATGGTTGACAGCTGAGATAAAGACATTTGTTCACCTCTCCTCTACCCGCGATTGCCATAAGCGCACACAAAGGGACTAGGCAGCAACGCTATCTAATAAACCAGATACCAAATGGCTAAACAGTCTAATAATGTTAAATAGGTAAAAAAATTAGAACTACTAATTTTCTCATGTAAGATAAATCGATTTCCTCGTCAGAAAAATAGCATCGTTGCATTTTTCATCTGAGTGGGTGTATCGCCGTCAGCAGAGCTATCGATTACATCTTAGTATGCGGAACAAATTGATGTATTGCAGGCTAGCGGAACTAAATGCTGTAATTTCATAATATTATTATTAATTTCATATTATATGAGATTTCTTTCTCAAATTCTGTTCAGTAACTGTTCACTGTTATATGGTTTTCGAGAGATCTTTAATATTTAAATATCAAAAGAATTTTTACTAAAAGACTAAAGAGCGCGCTATTATAACAAAAGTCCTCAAGAAGGCTTGAACCTCTTTGTACTTAGTTTAAAATTGTTGCAATATTGATCCAGCCAGTCATTAGGGGAGGAGGTGCAAGGGCGAACAATACAAGGTCTGAGGTTTAGTCCTTGATTCGAGCTCAATGTACTGTTTGACTGTACGGTTGGTGCGGTGGCTGGGCAACGCGTCGCGGGTTCGATTCCCGCACGTAACAACACTTTTTGTGATCCACAAATTGTTGTTCCGGGTCTGGGTGTCATTGTGTATGTGAACTTGTATGTTTGTAAACGCACCCAAGACACAGGATAAAATAGTATAGGGCAACGTATTTTTTTAATGTGTAACTTTGGAATGCTTTCAATCCAACATGACGTCAGACGAATTACATTCGATGGATGAAATAAGAGTTTTGTTATTGGATGTAGTGTTTTAGGACTAGTAGTCACTCTTCACTTAATTCATTCCAGGTCTCTTTTAAGTTTTATGCTCGAAAAATACTAAATCTAAGCCTTCGCCCTAAAATGTAAAAGTTAAAACAATACAAGCAAATAAAAATAAAACTACTGCATCGAAAACAAATCAATTGTAAACTTGTTAACTCTCGACTCCGCTGGATATCACCACCATATTGAATAAATACTGGCACAAAGTGCGAACAGGCACTTGAAAGCCGGCAAGTTGGGATTTGGGGCCAACATTCGACATTGGCGCTCCAACGTACCAGACTGTTGTTGGTAACAAATATTGGCGCACAAGTAACAGGTTGGCAGGCCAATATATGCCAGTGTCAATGGATGCTTCATACAGGATTTATGGAGTGCCCTTTTCTAAGCTGCGACCTTCTTTTTAAGGGGCTCGCTTGGACATTCTAAAGCACTAATAAGTATTGAATTTTCGATGGATTTAACTCGTTGAGTACCGTCATTATAGACACTATTAAAGAACAATAGGTTGCGGTCACCGGTGACCGCTCGGTGTTTGACAGTTAATCCACGGTGTAGTATTTATTTTATTTATTTCTTTATTTATTTATACGAATAGAACGGTACAAAAAGCCAATAACACTACTCACTACATATTTAATTGTAAGCCACAATACATAAAAAAAATATATTAGATACTAGACTGCCTAGTTGGCCGAGTGGTTGCAAGTGCGACTGCTGGGCAAGGGGTCTCGGGTTCGATTCCTGGGTCGGGCAAAGTAATACTGGGTTTTAAAAAATATCTCAGTAGTAGCACGGAGTCTGGAATTGTGCCCGGTATATGGCAATAGGCTCACCCCCTATTACATGGGACTCATAACATAAATAGTGAAAAGTGAGTGTTACATTGTACAGTGGCATAATGTTCACCTCTGCCTACCCCTTCGGGGATAAAAGGCGCGATGTTATGTTATTTACTAGATACTATAGTTCCTTCATCTCTTTCGCAAAACTTCAAGCATTTCTTCTTGCACTCGAAAACACGTGTTGGGTTGTGGTGTTTGCTTGGTTAAAAATTGTAGTTATTAGATATTAGTATCAAAATTACATTTCTAGTTATAGCTATGAACGACCCAATCCAATCAACATTCAATCAGATATATTTCTGACAAGAAGAGCTTCAGTAATAAATGGAAACATTTTGTTCAATTTTGAATCCTCTTACCTAATGACCTAATCACAGGAAATCTACGTTTAACAAACGTACCTAAGAATAATTAAAACATCTAACAATAATGAGGTGTCACTCAAGTAGGTACAAGTTAATGCTCACTTGAGCACATCATTAACTTAGAATCGAGACAATTACGAGCAATTATTACATTCATTCTAAGCTTGTAATCGACAGTAACATAACATCACGCTTTTTATTGAACCACACAATAAGCAGAGGTGCCCACAAATCATTTAGCCAGTACTTACGCTGCCATTTTGTCATACACTCGATCAAAATTCATCCATATCGCTATATTGACAACCTCAGGATCTTGTGTGAATTATGAAATAGTCTTAAAAAATAGAATTCACATCGAAATAATACTAGGTATGCATCGATCCCGCAATCGATGATTCTTGTTCGGTAGATCGCTCAGCCAGAGCGTCCTTTAGCTCCACGGTGTCCTTTAATGAAATTTTCTTGGAAGTATCCACCTAGTACGAATAGGTACTGCGTACTCCATATTAGGTTTGTTATTTAGTTAAACCAGTAGTCGTTAGAGGAACACGTTAAATAAAGATGAGTTGCCACGATCCGAGACCATGTGAAAGTCTCATTATACCATGGTCAATGCTTCACAAGTTATGCGTAGACGCAAGGAAGCAAACTATTTAATACCTTTTCCTTTTTAATCTGTGACCTTATTGCTTACTGGGCGGACAGTACTGGCATAGTGTTTGAAGAGTAAACATAATGCCCCGTCCACACGCTTGATATGATATAAATACCAATTACAACAAAGTCCCAAACATCGATGAGCACAGCAAGCGTGTAGATGGATAGCAAACTGTTTCCCGAACAGACTTTGATCTTGTTTGTGTTCGGCACTTTTCGACACCGATGTCGAACAGTGGCGAACACAAACAAAAACAGGTCCACACATACAAACCCATCCACATGTTCGTGTTTGTTGTTTGCTATTGTTTGCCAAGTGTGTGGCTCCGGCATAATGGTGCTCCCACACTCCATTAAAAAAAAATATTCGAATAAACTATTGTCTATCATTTTCTTCGGGTTCAATGATTTCAGATACTGTTTACTAAACAGCGCTGTGGGAGCGCCTATATTTTTTTGTAAAACGTGTCCCCACAAATCCCACAACAGGAATTTCAACTGTGTTATGGGTGCGCTTTATAAAGAAATATTCGTACTAATTCGTAGCACATTCTTTAAACAATTTTTTATTTCCATGTATTTATGTACTTCCTAGCTTCTACCCGCGACTTCGTACGCGCAATGCCATTTTCCCTCTGTTCCCGTTCGTGATTTTCGGTAAAAAGTAAAAAAAAAGTATTGGTAAAAAAGTATCCTATGTCCGTCTCCTGGTTCTAAGCTACCTCCCCGCCAATTTTCATCCAAATCGATTTAGTCGTTCTTGAGTTATAAATGAGTGAGAAGAGTAAGAGAGTAACTTGAGTGTAACTAACACGACTTTCTTTTATATATATAGATGTAACACAAACACATGGATAATGTTAATATTTGTTCTAATTACATAACTTATTCCATATAATTTATTATAGAAGTAATTTGTTAAATTCCCGGAATTTTCCGGGAAAACACAAAACGTAGGTACTATAATGGCAGTCAGCCAGTGTTATAATGATTATGTCAGTAGTAATAATCATAATTCCACAAGATAATAATATCATCATAGTTTCTTTGTTCTTACGTAATGTACAATATGTATATGGATTGCGTGATTTTTCATGAGTTTTCCATCCATTTTCCGCTGAAATAAGTTATGCATTTCTTGAAATACTTTTTTTGGGAGGAGGAAAATCATCAATCATCTACCAATTAATTTTCCCGCCTGGGTGAGGCGAGAGGGAGTGTCAGACTCTTTCTGACTAAAAACCCTTTTAAACTTTTTTTAAAACTTTACTTACTTTACTTGATTTTGGGACACTAAGGTCGATAGGTAGTAATCGTAGTATAAATCCGTAATATATACATATTTATTTTTATCTATTACTGATATATTTTCTGACAGCCTCGTTGGCCGAGTGATTGCAAGTGCGACTCGGCGGCAAGGGGTCTCGGGTTCGATTCCCGGGTCGGGCAAAGTGTTACTGGGTTTTTAAAAATCTCATTAGTAGCACGGAGTCTGGAAATGTGCCTGGTATATGGCAATAGGCTCACCCCCTATTACATGGGACTCATTACATAAATAGTGAAAAGTAGGTGTTACATTGTACAGTGGCATTAAGTGCCGCAATGTGCACCTCTGCCTACCTCTAGTATCCTAGTTAAAGTTCCTCTAGTAAAGTTCCTCTAGTATCCTAGTATCCTAGTTAAAGTAGTTATCCTAGTTAAAGAACACACACTACACACAAGAAGTCTAAAATAACTCACAATTAATACAATACACACACATTAACATTACAAAAAATCTGTAACAATAACATGAAAAGATTGTCCTTTACATTAGTAGAGGAAAAACCATGCATTTTTATCTAGAATCATCCAATCAATAGACTCGATTAAATAGACATAACGACAATGCGCTTGAACTAAGAGAATGCTTTTGTTATTACGATCATAATTATCAATCTAATGATGCATAGTAATCACTCCATTTATGACGTCACAGTATGTTTTTATTCTTAGTTACCTATAAATCTGGTTTATTATCGTTTTAACTTAGTGTTACATTTTCTATTAATAGCATTTTACACGTGTTTTTATTAATAATTATTGTTTTAAATCGTTTTATCCTGCTCCCTTAGACAGCGGCATAAAATGTAAACAGTTAAATAAGAACGTGAGTAGGCCAAAACACCAGGTTTTAAAAATTCCGTTTATGGTTTGAATTCATTTATTCCTAAAAGATTATAAATCACTTGTACAGAAATAAATACGTAAAACTAATTTTACATTTTTTGATTTGTCCAAGAGTAACAAGAGATTGTAATAGCGGTCACAATTTTAGGATTTTAACATTAACATAATAATTTATTACGACAAAGTAAGCAATTAAGTATATCTGAAGGTATTCGTAAAAATATTTAATGAAAAATATTTTACGGCCTACCGCCGTGCGTTGCATTGATGCGGCCCTCCGTGCAGTTCATTTGTAGGATCGGCGCACTTGGTTACTATCCTTATCTAATATTCCGTGTTAAATATGGCTTGTTTTAAAACGACGTGTTTTACGTTATTACAAATCATTAAATGAAAAATATCTAACAACTAACTCGGATACACCATTGCAACTAGCTACTATCTATCTCTAAAACTTTATTAGAGGACACATGCGACAAATAATCGAGTCAGCATGGTTAGAATCGTCCAATAACAACGTTAAGTTAAGACTAACCTACAAGCCGACTGCGGCCAGCGACTTAACGCAGTAACTCTATTGTTCCGCGCCAACTGCCACCTAGCCCCGAGGTCACACTCCCCTTTTTAAACAAGTATACACGGTAACAACACTCTTCTTATTCCACGAATGGATTAGCAGAAGTATACGTATAGTTTACATCAACTTTTCACTAATTATATCACTAGATCCATTTGATAGATTGGATATGTATGGATTGTGATAGGCAAACAAGATTTCAGAGGAGCTGCGGCCAACTTAATGATTTACCAGGGCTCTGACTCAAAGTAGAAGTAGGAACGGGGTGGATTTTTGTCAGTAAGAGTCTGACACTTCCTCTCGCCTCACCCAAAGCGGTTGAAGACTTTCGATGATTTACCGCCCTCAAAAAAGGGACCCAATTTTTGAGCCTGCAAAGTAACTAATACGTACTAACTAATTTAGCTTATAACAAAATTTTGTGTTTACTGTCTAGTAACCAAGCAGATACAGGGACAGGTACAACAGATACACGGATAGGTACAACAGATACAGGGAGAGGGATAACAGATACTAGAGTGGGACAACAGATATAGAGACAGGGACATCAGCAACACCACGGTCGGTAGATGTATCAAGGAGACTGGGAGACTAGAGGAAGTCGGCACTTAGATTAAATTCATAACAGATTTATCTAGCTGATGCAAATAAGTACCTACAAATGCATCAAATACTCAAGTACCTACTACTTCTGCAGTTCTACCTTGACATAACTGATGTTATGACACGTTTAATATTAAAAACCATTATGTAACACGTGTGTTAATGGATCAATTTATTTTTGTATTGATATTAGGATGGACCCGAAATCGGTGCTTATGTGTCCCTTATAAAGTAACCCACCAGTTGTATTGTTTTAGCACCCGTTAAGGAAACTATTTGTGGGTCATAGACGGGTACAATGATTATTAAATTTCCCAATTATTTAGTGTTCAAATGGATTGCAAACGTGTACCCTTTAAAATCTCCTGCAAACGTTGAATAATATCAGAAAGCTTTGCGCAGAGAGGAGCGGAAGGAGGGTAGAGAGGCCATTGCCCTGCCGTGGGGCGATCACGAATGAAAATAAATAAATAAAAAACTTACAAGGCACTATAAAAATTTATGAAAAGCAGTATAGGACAGGAAAGAATTGCCTAAAAAAAGCTATGGAGATACGTACCCAAAAGTAATACAACCATGAAACTACTACATAATCGTAAAATTATAGCAAAGCCCATAGTTAAACAATACGTATAATTATACCCATCGCTATGGTTAAACACTAATATTAGTAGTCCTAAGTCTGAAAATGTAGCTCGTGTTTTGGAGAGTGTTAAATATCGCCCTCACCGTATTGTGAAGGGCAAATAACCGTACACGTTAAATACTGACACTCAGACCAATGTGGTTAATACTGAATGTCTACTCTACCCCAACGTAACTGTGAAAAGGCCAAGAGAAGGAATAGATAAGTAGTTTCTTTGTTCTATATTTCTCGAACTATAGACAAGTTAGCGGTAGTACGATCATAAAAATAATATTCCATGGCATCTCCTTACACTCGCGCTGTGACGTTCGGCTGTGCGCACGCGTTGTTGCCTTTCGTTACGATCGTTTATTAACTCTATAAGTTCACCCACAATAAACTTATCATAAAATGCAAACCGATTCTAGTGGCGACGACCTTAGTGATTCAGAAATATTGAATAAATGCGAAGAACAATTAAATCAGATGAATAACATGGATGAGCAAATACTAACAAGCGAAGGTGGTAATAAACAAGTTGTAAGAAGTGCAGAGAAGAGAAAAGAACGAGAAGATACAAATAGTGAAGATGATTTTATTACTGTGGTCAGAGGGAAACCAAAACGTTTATTAAGAAGTAATTCACTGGAAGTAAATGATAGCCAAGGAAAAAATAAGGAAAATGATGGCACTTTCAAAATTCCGGCAAACCACGAAGTTTGTGTTACTGCCAAGGAGAATCTACCGAAACCAATAGCATTTGCTAAATTACTACGTTGTGAAAATATTAAAGATATTCTTCGGATAAAATATAAAAGTGCTAATAAAGTACTTATTCAATGCCAACGAAAAGAAGATGCCCTAAAACTGATTGAATGTAAAAAATTCAAAGAAATGGGTTTACGGTGTCAATTAACACAAGAAATGTCGGTATCATATGGAATAGTAAAAGGAATCGACCTTGAACTGAGTGAAGAAGAACTGATGGATATTTTTAAATCAAGTGTTGATGTTTTATCGGCGAAAAGATTAAAACGATTATTACCAGAAGGAAAATGGGTCGATTGTGAATCTGTTAGACTGTGCTTCAAAAGTAATGTACTACCGGAATATATTTACGCCTACGATTGCAGATTTAAGGTTGAAAAATATGTATTTCCAGTGACACAATGCTCAGGCTGTTGGCAATTTGGCCATCTCATTAAATTTTGTCCTACGAAAAAAGTCGTATGCCCAAAATGTGGAGGAACTCATGATAACTGTAACATAACAAACTTTAAATGTTTAAACTGCAAGGGGAATCACTTCGTTTTGAACAAAAAGTGTCCTATGTATCTAAAAGAAAGATCCATCAGGAATATTATGAGTGAAGAAAACGTTACATATAGAAAAGCCTTACAAATCCTAAAAACGAAGAAAGGAGAAGAAATAACAGAGGTGATCTCACAAGAAAATAATGACAATCAATTTGAAATCGTGAACAACAACGAGAAAGAAACTTATAGTAATGTACTGACAAGGGCCTTAATACACCATGAATCAGTATCTAATAGAGAAGAAGAACGAAGGGATGATACGGGTACGGATAAACAGCAAAATATCAGAAGTTCAAAACAAAAAACAAATAAACAAAATAATTACCAGTACCAAAACAAAAAACCAATAGAACAACCAATAATTAAAGAAATAAGTGATAAACAGGAAGAAAAAAGAAGTAATAAACATAGTTCTCAATGGTTAGATTTATTTGAATGGACAAAAATTTGGACGAAAATAAAGAATATCTGCAAATCTAAACTAAAACTAGAAGAAAAAGCAATGTCATTGTTAAAACTTATTGGGGAAGAATTAAAGAATTTTTTGATCAACATACTATTTGGAGAAGATATTTTAGGATATATACAATGTTTTAATAATGAATAGTTTACAAAAAGTTAAAAAAGTGAATATATTCCAATGGAATTCACAAAGTTTGCGGCCTAAACTTGTATCCTTTTCTAATTTACTTATACAACAAAACATTCATATCGCAATTATAAGTGAGTCATGGTTCGATCCCGACGTCAATGTAAACATAAGCGATTACAATGTATATAGAAACGATAGATATGATAGTTATGGTGGTGTAGCTTTGTTGATTCATAGATCAATTCAATCTCACCTGGTGTCGTTTAATATTAATAATGCGGGTATTGAGTTAATATGTGTTAAGTTATTAAACTGCATAGACTTAGAATATGTTGTGTCGATTTACTGTCCTTCATCTATACACACTCAGATTTCGGATTGGAATGATATTTTTTCTCACTTTACTTGTAAAACATTAATAGCTGGGGACTTTAATGGCCATCATACTAACTGGTCGACTAAATCCGACACGAGAGGCAATCAAATATTGGACTCATCCCTAGAAAATGATTTTATTTCTCTTAATAACGGCTTGGCAACACGCATTAAGTTAGTGAATGGAAACTTGCAGCAAACGTCTCCCGATATATCGTTTATTTCCTCTGACATAGCAATAAAATTCGATTGGCAGGTATTTAACGAAAATCTCGGCAGTGACCACATGATCATTAAGATGTCAGCAAACTTATCTAGCTTGGTACATATTGTTAGGAAACGAAACTGGAAGGTAGACTGATATTGCAATGGGTTCCAGCACATATAGGCTTACGAGGGAACGAAGAGGCTGACCACTTGTCAAAACTTGCTATTGAGATGGAAAATGAAACGCCGTATACTCCGGATTATTGGGAATATTGTTCCAAATTCCAGCAGTCTTGTTATGACAAATGGTTGAACTATTTTAATGAAAAATCAAATGTAAAAGGAATTTGGTACAAGACAATTCAGAATGAGCTTCCCCGGGTGCCTTGGTTTGAGGATGCAGGTTTGGGTCGAAATTATGTTAAGTTAGCATTAAGGCTGCGTTCTGGGCACTATCCATCGGCGAAGTTTGCTTTTCTTATGGGGAAGGTTGCATCACCTAATTGCGAATTATGCAACAAAGTAGAGGACATACAACATTTGCTAATGGAATGTGCCAGGAACAATAGTGAAAGGGAATCATTAATCAGAAAATATGAGTTGAATAAATTAGATGTTGGGCTAGTTCAAAACATTTTAGCAAATCCAAAAACGAAGATCGCAAAGGGATTATGTGAATTGGTGAGAGTGACATAGCTTTTCTTTTATTTATCTCATACCTTGTTAATGATTCCCTTTCATTTACAGAGTATATTTAATTAGATAAGGTACGATGGGGTTGACGTATCCATATGGACAAAAACCCCCTAAAATTTTAAAAATAAAGAGATAAAAAAAAAAAAAAAAAATGGCATCTCCTTACAACCTACTAGGGGACACACAACAAAGGCATGTGTATAATATGAACACGTAAGTTTTTATTCCGCCTATAAAATGCAGAGCTACACGCGCCGTAGAAAACTACCTTAATTGAATGAATGGCAACCTTCCGATCAATCGTTACACCCCCCGCATGCAATAAAAACTAATGTTTATTTCATGCTGCTCCTTTACTTAAAACTCATCAACAATTATCATTGTAAAGCATACAATTTTAGCTTCAAATTAATTTTATAATTTAATCACGCGGTAACTACAACGCAGTCAACCATTTTCCGATTTTCATCGGCCGCGTAGCTAAGGGGGAAAACTGCGTCACTAGCACACGCCGCGTCGTTTCGATCTAAAGTATCGGAAAGCATCACTTCATGTTTCATGCACCACGGCCGACGTCCGCCATTCGCGGACCGAAGGCCGGGAATGAAAAACATTTTCTCGACAACAAGACTCTCGACACAAGAGCGGGAATGACCGCGCATGCGTGGTGGAAGCCTTTGAACCACGAGGTTCCAAGTTACGCATTCGAGGCGTATGCCTCGTGAAGTAGGACGGGTCCTTACGCCGAATTTTCTTTGTCTGTCGATTTTTCGTAATAAATTGCGTTAAATTTCCTTTGTATGTAGAACATGCTTCATTTACAGATATCTGTAGATCCAAAGTAAGCAGACATCGTCTAATGTTGAACCGTCTGATGATATTGGGACCCAAATAATAATTCATTTTAATTTTTCATGCGAATATCATCCGCATTGCGATGTACAAAGCTAGTTACCTGATTTTTTATTTGAATTAAAACCTTATAATATACTACGGAATATGATTTCCATCAAAATTCAATACAGCATTTTCTGTTCGCAATAATAAAATAATGCGGTTTAATCAATGCAATGTTTTTCTATCTATGCAAGCAATAATTCATCGACAAATTTAATTAAGCAAAGTTAACTTTTATACAAACATAATTATACACAAATACCTTTAACATAAGTGTTAAAATAATCTCGTAAATTAACATTTATTTGAATTTTTTGTGCGAAAAAAAAAACCGCCATTTGTAGTCTTTGTGTTTATTTATTTACATAATTGAGCATTAAGTTACGGTGCTATACTTGTTTAAGAATTAGTATGACTGTTCATATTTCAATGGTCGTCCGAGAATAGTAGCTGATGTAAAAACAAGTAAATAGTAGGTACAAGTCGTTATTATTGGGAATGACTTGTAGGAACTTATTGTGTTAGTGTCAATTCATTGTAGAAACGTAGGTTGGTACTTATAAGTAATCACGGATGATAGATAGTTCTTTTGAAGGCTTGTAATTAGTTTCTACATGGTTTTGTACGTAGTAGGTATATTTTACATGTTTCCCAATAAGGAAGGTATTTTAGCTATGCCATTTTGTCCCATAAATAATGAAGTGCTATTTAAATGGTGAGAAGAGTCCGGCTCGACCGGAGTGATACCACGGCGTCACAATAAACCGACGTAAAACAACGCTTGCGTTGTGTTTCGTTACCCCCTTTCCCAAATCCCCAATAATCCTCAAATTCCTAATCCCTAGACCTGTAACTCACTTGTAATTTCTGGTGTTTCGGCTGTCCATGGCGCTGATTGCTTACCATCAGGTGATCAGTCCGAGGGTTTACCGGTTTATTCCATAAAAAATACTCCAAGAAACTAAATAAGATCGATACAAAGGGAGAGGAATATAATGTAGGCAACTGAAGTGCAAAAACTACTTTAACACACAGGTAGTTAGCATACTAAATGTAACAGTAAAAATTTATCACGACAGCTTCACTTCACACAAGTACTGAAACGTGCTTAAACTCTTATTTCTGTCTCTGTTACTCAAAGGAGTAACATTACGACAGAACCACTTTTAAGATCTTAAAGTTAAGTGGTATTAGAGTATGATGCGTAAAATAAACAGTCAAATATGATGACGTAATCACCGATGGAGCGTCTCAAGTTTACGAGTTACGTTTGATGTACCTCTTACAGCATAAAAACTTTAAATAAGTCTCAACGTAAATAACTTATGTTGAGAACATGTCGTCGAAGATAACGATTGGCAAAACACGAAGCTTCGAAAATCTACACTAATATTATAAAGCTGAATGAAGAGTTTGTTTTTTTGTTTGAACGCGCTAATCTCCGAAACTACTGGTTCGATTTAAAACGCCGAGCAGAGCGAGTGAAACCGCGCGGAAGTAGCTAGTTTGTGATAAAAACTGTGATTTTCAACCGGATTGACAAGCGTGGAGATACCTAATATCTATGGCAAACCCCTTATGAAGTTGGCGTGAAAATCTTCGATGTAAAAATCTGTAAAATGTACTCATGTATGTTTTAATTTAAAACGTTTTCCATCTTGTATATTCTATTAGGTACATTTTATTTAAGGGGGGAAAATCATCGAATGACTGCTCCCGTCTGGGTGAGGCGGGCGGGAGTGTCAGACTCTTACTGACTAAAAACCACCCCGTTCCTTCTCCTACACGTCGAGCCGGAGCCCCGGTAACCCGTTAGGTTTTCCGCGACTCTATTAGGTACTCTTGCCCGCGGGGAATATGATTCCTGTTTTATTTTATACCATAGGAGCATTTAATCGGGATAAAAGTACCCACTCTCTTAAGTCAGCCTGCCTGTGTATCAAAAGCCGTTCAGTAGTTTCACCGTATTTGACAGACAATCAGTCAGACAATCTAAACAAAGAAACATTCACATTTATAATAGTTATGCGATTCTATTATCGTCCTGTGTCGCGGAGAACCTAACGGGCAACCTCCGCCTCGACGTGCAGGAGAAGGAACGGGGTGGTTTTTAGTCAGTAAGAGTCTGGCACTCCCTCCCGCCTCACCCAGGCGGGAGCAGTCATTCGATGATTCTCCCCCCTTAAAAAAAAAAATTGTCCTGTGTCACACAATTCTTTCTGTCACCCGATCCAAAAGATTGCTAATTAGTAGTAGTACTAGTTGAAATATTCACACTTTTTGTTAGAAAAAACTAGATCGCATAGAACTTGTATAACACCCTTCAATGTTTTCTACATAGTTAAGCTAATTAAGTGCATACTTAAAGGAATGTTTACCGGACAGCTGGCTGCTAACAAGTTACATGTAAAAGTCAAGTGATGAAGAACAAGTTATACATACTTATTTAACCTTACTTATAGCTTTCTACCCGCGGCTTCACATACGAGGCAGTTAGGTCGCTCGAGTACTTCCTAGTTCTCCAGAAATTTTCGCAAAAAAGTAGCCTATATTACTAAATTAATTGAAATAAATGGCTTAGGTACTCACGCAAACTGTTCGAGAAACACTCTACTGGTTTCAAATCACACGGGGGCTTATATTTATGAACTTGTTTCATTCGTTCTAATTAATGATACGGTATGTGTTACGAAAAGAAGCCTATGTCCCTTCGTAAATGGTTAACTTTTCAATGGCGAAAGAAATTATGAAATCGGTTTAGTAGTTTCCGACCCTATTCAATGCAAACAAACAAATTATCAAATATTTTTTTTTAATATTAAGTATAGACAAAGCGTGGTTACGTGGTAAGTGCGAGCAACCTTTCACAGTTCATGGGGATCCTCCATGGTGTTAATATGTATTGTTTTTTGTTTTAATAAAATAGACCAAGGTGCTAATGTTTGACCTTGGTCTGTCTGTCTAGCGATAATGACTGCGGTTTTTTCTATTTTAATTCTATTACGTGAACGTGGGTAACTAAGTTTAAGTAGGTAATAAATGTTTTTATTATTTTTCACGTCGCTTTATATATTTTTGACAAATGGATGAATACTTACGTAATATTATTTTAAGATGTCCCTTCCTTTAAGAAATTATGATTATTTTTTTTTAAGGGGGGAAAATCATCGAATGACTGCTCCCGTCTGGGTGAGGCGGGAGGGAGTGTCAGACTGTTACTGACTAAAAACCAGGGTGTTCCTTCTCCTGCACGTCGAGCCGGAGCCCCGGTTACCCGTTAGGTTCTCCGCGACGAGAAATTATGGATAGAATCGTTTAAAAAAAACCACAACATATCGACTGTTCTGTTATTTCACTTACGCAAGGAATTTCGAAAAAAAAATCCCACTTCATCATCATATTGCCGAAAAATATGCAAAAAAGGCGCATTCACAAAACCTACAAAATTGTATACATACATAGAGGTATATAGGTACACATACATTCATACAATATTATGGCATTGACCTCAGATGGCTTGAGTATGTGTTCGTCGTT